ATTTTTAAATATTGGTGTTATTTTTGCAAATTTGAATTCTTTTGGACAAATACCATTTTGGATCATTAGATTTATAAGGAACGAAAGAGGTTCACATACCTTAACAGAAAGCTCTTTTAGAATTTCCGCTGTTATATCATCTACACCAGGGGCTTTGTTATTTTTTAGGAAGTTAATGATTCTTATAATTTCTTTTTTGTTAGTTGGAACAAGGAAAATGCTCTTTCCTACGTATTTCCTAGGAGCGGGAGCATTTGGAGGTTTAGTTATTTTAGAAGCATATGTTTTTCCTACAACTGAATAATAATTATTGAATGTGTTTGCTAATTCTAACTCATTAGTTATAATGTTGTTTTTGTAATTAATTTTTTTAACACTTTTGATATCTTCTACATTTGATGTCATTTTTTTTTTCTTTTTATTTTTTAATAATGATTAACCTGGTCAAAGGACTTATTGAAATTAATAAAGAATAAATCAAGTTGTAATTTTTAATTTATAACTTTTATGGCTGGTTCCATAAATATTAAAAAGGTTTTTATTAATTATTTTCCTTTAACAAAACTGTGTTGTTCTTCTACTAAATATTTTGAATACGAATAATATGTATTTTAATATATTTTAATAAGTACACAAATAATGTGTTTAAACAGTTTTAAAGCAACATACAAGATAGCGACGCCCCTGTAATTTTCAATGTCCTTTATACTTTTATGTAATATAGGTTGCTATATAGAATAAAATATGCAGTAGGGGCCTCTTTAACTACTATTTATATCCTTTTAAAATATAAGGTGGTATCATGTCACTACCAGCACTTTTTTTGTTTTATTCGTTTAATAGCTTTATCGTAATCATCCGAATTTACTGAATTTAAATGGCATAGATATTGATTTCAAGTAACGTTCACATATTCTCAATTATGTACAAATTTTTCAAAAAAATTCACGTCAATAAAATATTGGAGCTCTTGTTCTAGAGTTATTGCCCCCTTGGGTACGGGGCCTCAGTAAAATAGGCTCAAGTTTAAATAATTTCACTTATTTTTTAAAGGAACTCAGTTTACTTTGTTCAGTAAAACCTCCAATAGTAAAACCAATACAAAAGTGTGTATTGGGCATTTTTTATTTTACTAATTTGATTCTATTAAAGATTTCTAAGTAAGGCCGAATATTTTTTGGGACACCCAGTATAAATATTTTTTTTTCTATTTTATAAAAAAAAACGCAAAATTATTGTCATATTATCTGAATAATTTTTTATTGAATCCGTAGTTTTAAATGAAAATAGAAATAAAACAGTTGATTATAATATCACCTCGACAGAAAGTAACGCCTTGTCTGAAAATTCATTTTATTATTATTGTTATTGGAATACCGAAACGTTGCACTCTTGGTGTAGAACACGGTTATAAATTGCTAACCTCATTTGTACAAGATACCGCCTTTGTTGTTTCAATCTGGTTTTAACATTCTACAAAAATAATTAAAAACATGTGTTCTTAAGCACATTCATTTATTATTTATCAGCGTTTATCTCTTTTTAATTGATCTCTTCTTTCTGCAGGGTTGTAGTAAAATTCTAATTTATTTGTCTATAGATGTAAGAGGGTTAGTTCCTTGACGTTGAAAGAAATGTATTAATTATTCAAACTTGGGACTGACTATATATTACACCTTTACGTGTTCTTGATATAGACAAATACGCCAAAAGAGATACAAATGGGAATGTGCTCCACATTTTCTGGAGTTATGACTTAAGGAACTTTTTTTTCGAGAGAGAATGTATTATAAACTGATACTGAAATGTATGGCTACCAAAAGGTTAAAAAAACGTTAAAAATCAAGATATTTCGAAATTGTTACGGTGACGGGAGTTTCTGTTGATTGGGAGATGAAAGATGAGATAGTCATTATAAAATACCGATTAAATGACATACCACAAGGAATTTGAGATTTGTAAAATAGGCAGAAATAAAATAAATATTCTTTAAATGAAAAAGGTAAAAGAAATTATGTTCTAAAAATTTTATATTAAAGATTAGAGTAGGGTACAATCTATTCTAATTTTCTTTCATTTCTGGCATCAATAGAAAACCAATTAAAATCGTTAATTTTCAATCATGTCTAGGCATCAGCATATCCAATTAGCTCTGACTTTCACTGATAAGTTACCTAGGGCCAAGTTTTCACCAAACAAACCATTATGTATGAATTATTACGTCTAGTTCTTATTTCGCTAAATGATGAAACTCAAAATTGGACTTTTCGTCTAATAACTATTTTAATTATTATTTGTTAAAAAGGTTCATAGTAAACACAGTAATTCATGACTTTTTACCCTTTTTCTCATTTCATTATCATTCAGTATTTAATACGAATGTTAATCTGGTGTACCCGATATGTAAACCAGGTTTAGTAATATCGTTACCTTAACAGGTAAACCTAACTCCATACGCAATAATATTACAGGAGAAGCAAAAAACTGTTTCATTTAGATATTAGAAAAAAAAAATAAATAGATCATTAGGTCTTTATTTATTGAAAGCTTCTAATGGAGGTGTAACATTTTCTTACCGAATACCACACGTGCCAAAATTATTGTCTGGAAATTTTTGCTCACACCCAAATATTTAAAAAAAATTATCCCGAGTCAAGGACAATGAGATATTTAGATTGTTGATTTGAGAAATTTGAAAAAGAAAAATTTACAAAATTTCAGAGTGCAAAATATAATTAGATGTAGATGTGCGAAAGAAAGAAATAGAATGTTTGCAAGGGTTAAAATGTTATATAAACTGGAAAAGAAAAAACTAGAGTAAGCGTATGATTATATTATTATTATATATAGGTAAATTTATAACACGAAACAAAATGGAATAGAAGTCAAAAAATGTATGATGCTGGATAACGACTTTTTGCTAAGACAAGAGGTCGTATCTACGAAAATTCCGATTTTAAGATTCTTACAAATTTAATAAGCTTACTTTTTATTTTATTATGACAGAAAATAATAAAGACCTATTTCAATTAGAAAATATTTACTATAATTATTAAATGAAATTAATTCTGATGCCTTGGTAGGATTCCCCACTCGACCTTCACTGTTAGGTTCTAATTAACAGTGCTGTTCCTAAAGTGGCGCTGGGAAACAGTAACAAAGCCTACACAGAATACGAGGCGAAATAACCTTAGCAGTTGAAGCCGATGACACACAAAAAAAAATTATAAGAAAAGGTTAGTAAAATATGCAAAACTTATTTGCGAAGTCTAAAAGGACGTAATTATCTAACTACCCACATTTACTAACAATATTCATTTTGTAGACACGATATTTTATCTTAGCAGGACAAACTTTTATGTTCCATTTAGGTTTTGTAGTTATAAAATAATTTTTTTTTTAATTATAGGTGGGACACCTTAGAGGACAGAGGAATTTTGTACATTAACTAAAAACAATTTTAAAAAATGTTTTTCGGTGGATAGGTACCAGTAAGAACCCTATTAAAAAGCAAGAACAGTCAGATTATTAATTTCTTTAATGAAACTATTCTATATTTTAACCAAAATCAATATATTTATGTCAAAGATCATATTATTATTGTAACAAATTTAGTTGTATTGGATTTAAAAACAAGGTATTATTGAATATAAATAAAGTATATTTAAAAAAGGGTGAGACTATTTCATTTAAAATGTACATAATACTGCAATTGAGCAATAGATACTCTTCATTTAATTAGAGAATTTTAGTTAGGGCAAGTTAACTCTAATCTTGAAGCAAAGCTTATTAGCTACTGTTGAACAAGTATTACTAGAATTTCAAATCGAGACGAGTTTTAACTGCGGATATACAAACACAACAAAGCATTGAAATAAGACCATTCATCTTGAATATAGTACACCTTTTTTTCTGTGTACCGAACTCCTGATAATTCAACTGTGCCCAAAAGCTTAAGTTTAAAATTTGGTGGTTTTCTCTTTGTCCGTTTTTGAATTATCGTAGATACAGACACACAGAAACACACCCACAGACAGACACCATCGTAAAAATGGTCAAAACGAATTCAGGGAAACAAAAACATCGAAAACTCGAGGTCGGAAAAAATATAATTCCTAGGTATACTTTCCTTATTGGTTGCAGAAAAGTAAAAAGATTAACTTGAAAAGCTTAAAATAAAAAATATTCATTCGATTATTGACCACTGTTAAAAAAAACATCCATAATCCATTTTGTTAACAACTTTATACCTATATTAAAAAAATACGCAGATCGGTCCTGTTATTACTAGTAAATATTACAATCTTATGCATCTTCCTTTAGACCGAAAAAGTATTAAGGTATTTAAGAATTTTTGAGAAATTTTGAAATTTTTCTTTTTAAAAAAATGCCCGCCTGGCATTTTGGGTACAAGCAGCCTTTGATTTTGCTCACTACACCATGTTCACTACTTCAATACTTTTCTCTTCTTAACCAACATTAATATAAACTAGTGAATGTGTTGCCCAGACTGAAATTGAGAACCATCTATTTATTGCCGAAGAGTCCTAATATGGACGAAACCGGTTCAAGAATGACGTTCTCCTTAATAAGCAAAATCAAAGATAGAATGTTAAAATTTAAATTCCTTCTCTGCTTTCTTTCCTTTGGATAAAGTTCAATACCGTTTGCGGTATTAGCCAAAGAAGTAGTTTTTTTAAGGGAAACGGTCGCTCGTATTATGTGATGGCTTTAAGTTTATTTATTTTATTTGTAATTTATCTATACTCAAGTTTAGCGATTAACGTTTCAATCTTACTTTTTATGTGAATAGAGAAAGTCGTAACGGTTTTAAACTTAAAATCAATGTTTAAACCAATTACGAAGATGCCGGCACAAGCCACGCAAAAATGCAGCGTCGTCAATCTACATGGAATCTAAATTCATTGTAAAACCACCCCTTGACCTAGTCGGTTCATTTTTCATTCACGACTATTAGATATTCCACTTCTTTCATTCAGTAGAATGGATAATAACATGGATAATAGAATGGGTAGTAGAATGGATAATAGAATGGATAATAGATAGGATAATAGAATGGATAATAGAATGGATAATAGAATTGATAATAGAATTGATAATAGAATGGATAATAGAATGGATAATAGAATGCATAATAGAATGGATAATAGAATGGATAATAGAATGGATAATAGAATGGATAATAGAATGGATAATAGAATGGATAATAGAATGGATAATAGAATGGATAATAGAATGGATAATAGAATGGATAATAGAATGGATAATAGAATGGATATTAGAATGGATAATAGAATGGATAATAGAATGGATAATAGAATGGATAATAGAATGGATAATAGAATGGATAATTAATATAATGGATAATAGAATGGATAATAGAATGGATAATAGAATGGATAATAGAATGGATAATAGAATGGATAATAGAATGGATAATAGAATGGATAATAGAATGGATAATAGAATGGATAATAGAATGGATAATAGAATGGCTACTAGATTGGATAGGTAATAGAATGGATAATAAAATGCATAATAGAAAAGATAATAGAATGGAAAATAGGATGAATACTAGAGTGGATAAAAAAAAGGATAATATAATGGAAAATAAAATGGATAACATAATGGATAATAGAACAATGGATTATTATAATAAGAGTTTTATACCTAAGTATTATTTTATTGACTATAATAGTAGTATGTTATTTTACAAACAAGACGAAACTGTATGTTTCCAGCAAAAAATATAAAACAATTTTTAAAAATGTCTATCATTGAAAACATTACTGCTTTTCTTGAAGACTCCTTTCAATACCGAATTCTTAAAGAAAAACGAATGAAAATACTTCCTATAAAATGTAATGCATCAACTGATTCCTCATGTTTAATTATATACACTTGCATAAAATCATTTTATAAACTAGAGTATTTAAGAATCTGCTTATGAACGGCTTTTACGATTAAATCTTATTTTGCGCCAGACTTGCAATAACAAGTTGAAGTGCTTCGAGGAATATTAAATTCTTGATTAATCTGATATTGCTGGTGTATGCAAACTTTGTTTTAAGATTTATTTACAGGCAGTGCAACTGCATTCGTGTTGCATTTCAATTATACTGGCTCTCGAGAATATTAAGGAGGAGCGTTGTTATAGTACCTACATATACTGAAGGTAAGCACATTACATATTTGTGTTTGTGATGATATGGAATCCTTCTGAGACCTTCCAATTATCAAAAAAATTTAGAAATCTTGTGCCGATTCAATTTCAAAAATTTTTTTTTTAAGCCAAACTAATTTTTTTTTAAATAAGTACCTCACAAATATATTTTTTTTTATTTAAAACTAAATGTTAAAGCAGGCTACCGGTTTCGGCTAAAAAGTCATCCTCAAGCCTGTCTTAATCATATAGATACCTAGATGATCAACCACAGGTAAAATTAAACATAAAAAACGGTATTCAATAAGTGCAATTTATGCTTCTCTTTATTTAAAAAAACAAATCTGTTCCAGCACTAGGGGAAGATGGGGCTGAAAGTTCCGGGGGTTGATTGTTCCGATGAGTATACGTGCGAGCAGAAAAGAGATAGCGATACGTTTGAAGTACGGTACAAGTTGCCGAGTGATCGCGCACTCTCGGCTGTCCTTTTAGTTGCATTCAAGGTGGCGGTGTGTTAGGTGTGTGAATAGAGATCGTCGACTGACACGTAAGTAAATATATTTGTGATTAAACTTTTGGGTCTATTTCGATCAATTTTGAAGATAATGATTTGCAACTTGAACTAAATTGATGTAAAAATATTCAGGAATCTTATGTCATTATCGTTATTAGACTTATTTCGACTATTGAAAATAAATTTGAATGATATTCGAAAATGGAATGTGGGGTTGGTAGTTCCTTTACTTTGGGGCTAGTTGTGCCTCGGAACAACTTACCCCGATAAATAAATTATATGCAATTTTTTCAATTTCAGGATGCGTACGTATAAGAGAAAAACTGAACGAGGTAAAACTTCTGAGGAACTCCTACGCAGAGGAACCCGTGTTGTTGCTGTTGGATAACCATCAATCTCATATCGACATTGGTGTGGTCGAAAAAGCAAAAGCTAGTTCAGTTATCATGTTATCATTTCCTCCACATTGTACACATCGTCTTCAGCCACTTGATGTTGGTGTAAATGGGCCGTTGAAGACATACTGTGCCAAAGCTCAAGACAACTGGCTCCGGAACAATCCAGGAAAGACGATGTCTATATATGAATTACCAGGAATTCTGAAATATGCTTGGCCTTTAGCAGCAACTCCTACCAATATCATAAACTCATTTAAGAAGGCAGGAGTATGCCCCTTCGACCCTAACATATTCACGGACGAAGACTTCGCCCCATCTTTTGTGACGGATAGGCCAATGCCTAATGCTGACTTTCATCAGGAAACAGAGCTGAATGATCAGCCTGGGCCCTCTAATATTGAAAATTCACAACACATTGTGCGACAGTCCGTATCGTTTCCAGAACCATCTAATAACAAGTTATCGATGGAACCAGAACCGCAAACAATACCAACAACAGTAGATGATGTAACATTTTCTCCAGAATTAGTCAAGCCGTTCCCGAAAGCACCACCAAGATTGTCGACTACTTCTAGGCGACGCAAAAGAAAAACGGCTGTTCTTACAGACACACCCGAGAAAAATGCATTGGCAGAAGAACAGGCTAATAAGAAAAGAAAAAGAGATGAAGATCAGAATAAGGAAAACAAAGGAAACAGAACTGGAAAAGGCAAGGGAAAAAGCTCAGGAAAAGGCAGAATACAGGAAAAACGGAAAAGCGAAGTGAAAATGCGAGTTCTTCAAGAAAGCGATGAAAGTGATAATGAAAAAGATGATTTAGAATGGTATTGTTTAATTTGCTACGATTCCTATTCAAATTCGAAACCCAGAGAGAAGTGGATTGAATGCATTATGTGCAAAAATTGGGCTCACTTAAATTGCTTAGAAAGAGATGACGTTGAAGTTTATATTTGCCCCAATTGCAATTCAGATGATGAGAATGATGAATAATCATGTTTTTTTGTGGTATTATTAGTATATAGGATTTTTTTAACGATTGCTTTTGTGTTTTGTTTTACTTCTGAAGTTGAGAAATAATAAATGATTTCGAAAAACCAGTTGTCTTGTTCATTAATTATACGTTATTCGAACAAAAAGTAATACAAATGTGAGGGGAACAATCTGCCCCTATATGACGGAACAACCAGCCCCTCGACGGGGCAGGTTGTGCCGCACCGAGTTGTCGAGATAAAATTGTTCTGTAAGATGAGCTATTAATAATTCCCCACAAGTTATTATATAGTCTGATACTATGATAATGTATGTTTTATTACTGCTAAAGTTACAGAGATTGCACATCGTTTCGATATATTTTTTACTAGTTCAATGAAAATCGGAACTTTCAACCCCGTCCTCCCCTACTTCTTTTTTTCTCTATTTGTCTGCACCTCTTCTATCTGGGCCCCTTTTATGCCTTTGACTGCTAATCTGCTTGTTCTTTTTCAAATATCTCCACTTATTCAGTTGAAACACAAAGAATTTTTAACAAAAAGTAAAATGCAACCCTAACGATACGATGCAAACATGTTAGAAAATGGACAATAGGATGAACACGTGCTAATGTCAATTTTCCAGATTCTCTATAAATAAGTTGTGTCTCTGGCTGAATAATAAGTATCACATCTTTACATATGCCAGTCATATAACTACCGTATCAGTATGTGGTTAAATTTTAAAATAAGTTTCAGCTGGCAACACCGTGCAGTAAATTTGTACTCGCTAATCTTTTGGTAAGGTAATAGGTTTTTGATTCGAATTGTCTAATTCTTGTTCTGAAATTTAATTGCTTTGAATCGAATCCTTTTATAATATTGAATCAAATACGAAATAGTCGGTTTTAATAGCAAATCATACAATACACGTAAGAGCTTTCTTGGATTAATTCACAATTCTATACTTGAATGAAATAATTTATTCTCAGATTAATTATTAAAAATCTTAAAATACAAGAATATCCCTATACTTCACTCAATATTTATTTTCTTATTGTATCGAGAAATATTATTTAAAGCAAGTTCTGCTTTATTTCAAACAAATGTAATCTTCCAAGTGTAAAGCTTTTCTTGAATGTAGATGATAATTTTTTTCTGTGTAGGTACTTTATAGGGTGTCGTTTCTCTGTTTTAATGTAGATTACTATTATTTATTTTTAAAGAATAAATTTCATTTTTTAAAAGTTGTTTGGGATAAGATTCTCCATAATTTTTGTTCTACACATAATTTCTCTAAAATAGACCATAATAGAGTTATTTAGAGAAAAGTGCAAAATTTGAATTTGTTCACCAAATTAGGCTATTGCTAGCAAGTAAATGACAGAAATTTATATATTATGTTCAAAAGGAAAAACTTGTATTTCGTGCAAAACTTTTTTATTAATCAATGCAAAACGCTTTCGGCTTATTTGCCATCATCAATGCTCATCTACAAAAATTGTGGATGTAAACTTACAATTTAAAAAGATTTTAAAAATGTATTATAAAATCTGAATTAGACTTTTAAGTCAAAAGTTAAAATAGTATATATACAATTGTTTGAACAAATTAAAAATTACAAGAAACAAACAAAGTGACAAAAAACTGGTATCGGAAATAGTGAGTGTGGGATAAGCCCTTACAAATCAAATCTGATCTCCAGAAGCAAGTTAGCTTGTGTGGAATTAAGGAATCATGCCACCCTCGCTATTCACAAAATTGAAAAAAGGTTAACAAATTAGTTAGAATTTAAAGAAATTTACAATTAGAGGGTGACTGTGGAAGATATATTGAAATTTGAATCTAGAATACAATATTTGATATGAAGAAAGTAAAACGCAGAAGGCCAAATTAAAAAAACTGAAGGTTTTTTTTTATATGTTTTATATACATTATAATTATGAAAAAGTCTACCTACTGTCCACAACGTATCCAACAAGTTCCTGGTCATCCTCACTCCCAAAATTATATATTTCGGGATATTTACAACTTGCTAAATCATAATTTTATTAATATTAATATTTTCAAATTTAAATTTCTCTCTTCATTTTGGTTCAAGTTGTTTAACCGTTTCCACATGACAGTGGTGACAAGCGACACTTGAAGACTTTGACTTGTCAAATGTCAACAGAAGGAGGTGCGTTCACCTCAGTGTGGAACATGTTTCTCCGAGTGTGATTCGAGTGATTGGAGGTTAACGGAGATCAAAATTTGTTATTGAATTTAAAGATTTAATTTATTGTTAGTTAAATTTAAATAAATGTTTAATATAAATGATATTATTATTTTGATGTCAAGACAAAACAAAAATGTCACTCGCGTGATTCTGATGTGCCAGCCCGGGCTCTGCAGAACATTCTTTCAGAGAACCCAAGATGGCACAACTGAACCCGCGGTCCCTAAAGGTGAATCTGATGTTTAGTCCTAAAA